TTTGCTGTTGTTTTGCTTTGCTTCTATGAAATGAGCAAAATGAAGGCGGAAAACAAAGTCCGAAGCAAAAAAAAAGAAAAAAAGTGACAGCCCCGCCGGCGGCGAGGGGGCCGCCCCTTTGCCCCGCGTTCCCTCCGCGACGGCGGCAAGGTCGGGGCGCGCCGCGGCGGAAGCCTTTCTTCTCGTCACCCTTGCTGCTGTGCCTTCCCCCCCTTCGGCCGGCACGGGAGTCCTCGCGGAGGGGGAGGAGGGGGGGTGGGAGGGGCCTTCTATTCTTTTGTTCTTCGTTTCTTGGTTTTAATCTGTCTCTTGCCATGTCGTTGTTGTGCGTCTCTCGCCTTCCCTTTCTTTCTCTGCTTTGTCGCCTCCTGGTTTTTCTTGTCACTTGTGTGCCAGGGACCTTCGGCAGTCGCACGCGCAAAGAAAACCTGGCGGTAGAGAAGATGGCAAAGGCAGGGGAAGCCTTTTCGGACGACCCTCTAGTTGAAAAGTACTACGGACAACGGCATCGATTGTGGTCACGCTTTGACGAGGGCGTGTGGATGACGCAGAGGGGATGGTGCGAGGTTACACCTGAAGCTATTGCTCGTTCCTCCGCTGAGCTCCATAAAACTATGAAGAAGAAAACCTGCGTCCTTGATCTTTTTTCTGGATGCGGTGGCGACACGGCTCAACTAGCTCTGGTTTATGATAAAGTCATCGCAGTTGATATAGATCCAGATGCCATAGCGGCGGCTAAAAAGAATATGGAAGTTTATGACGTGGAAGATCGCGTTTTTTTCACTGTTGTGATTTCCGTACCCTGAAATCGGAGAAGCTGCAGGTTGATGCAGTACATTGCTCTCCTCCATGGGGAGGGCAGTTATATGCTGCGGCGCCAACTTTTGACCTGGACAACTCTCTACGTGAAGCTATAGGTATGGATTTTTCAGAGCTTTTCGCCTTTATTACAGCATTCTCAAAGAATATTACCATATTTTTACCCCGTAATGTGCTTTTGTATTCTGCTGTCCCGCGTGGGTTTAGGGGGAATTTTGCGGTTTACAGGCATTACGTCAACGAAAGATGCAAGGCCGTCACTTTCTATTGGGGTGAGTTGTTAGACTGCTCTTCACTAAGAGCACCTGCGGCACCTGTATATTCCTTAAAAGATAAAATATTTCCACGTCCTGAGAAACGAGTTCGTGGCCAGTAAGGCAGGATTATCTCTTTTTTTTTATTTATCTTTCTCTCTCGTTTTCTCTTTCCTTGTGTTTAGTTTGGTGTTTTCAATATGAAGGCCAAGCTTTGTGGTTAACTACTTATTTTCTAATCATTCTTTTCTTACCCTATTGGGGATAATCTTACAATTCTTGTCTAACAACTTATCCCTCTTCTGACAATGGATCTTTTTTTTCCTTGCTTTTTATTATGCCTCTTTTCCGTTTATACAAAGATGAAAAGGTTCCGGCTCTTAACTTTGGTCGGCTATGGGAGAGGCCTCATATTACGCCCTGAGGCCACCAAAGATCCTCATCGGTATCCATTAGGGTATGTGCCACTTGATGGGTCTGAACCGCTGGACGGCATTTGGGCTTTGGTGAAAAATGGCTTTTTTGTGGCTCCTTTAAATAAAATTGAAACTATTCACCGAGCGCATGTGGGTATTAGGCAGCTAGCACATTCAGAATATCCGGCGGTTTCTGCACCCGAGCTGGTGGGTTTGCAGTTGAGATTAAAGGAACTATGTAGTCGTTTACTGATTCGTCGAGACTTTTGGGTTCTTGAGGACTTTAATGATCCCGAGTTAAATACCAGTTTTGGTATCCAAAACGTATTCTTTGACAATTTTAAGTGGTCCCAGGTCCTATGGAAGAGGTTTCAGGTTTTTGTTGAAGAGTACTTTCCGGTAATGGATCATACTCATCTAACATACGATGAATACCTTCAACTGTTGCGAAGTTTTTCACATTTTGAACAGGGGGCAACATTGGCCCCGCTACTACCTAGAAAATATAAACTTCATCCACCTTTTGGGGTTTTAGTGCCTTCTAAAGTCGATATGGAACCCCTCTTATTGTATAGGCAATGGCTAACAAATTTCAGAGGCCCCTTGTTGTTGCAGAAAGCACTTATTGTATGGAGTGGTTGTGGTTCTGCTGCTTTTGTAACTAAATTTTGTGGCGTTCCTATTGTTCGCGGTGTTGATCCAAATCCAAGAGTTGTGGCCTCTAGTAGAAAAGATGCTCAACTTATGGGCAAGCGTTTTGATTCAATTAGTTTTCGAGTGTGCGAAATGCTGCCTGATTCCAACGGATATGAGGAATCCTCGACTATACGCAAGTTTGATTTGATAGTCTTTTATCCTGACCAAGGATCTTTTAGTTCTTTCTTTGCTGAAGTGGACGATGGGTACGCACCCGGGATGAGCGGATTTGCAGGTCGATTGGAGCAATTTTTTGATGAAGCAGATAAGCATCTTGCAGAGTCCGGTGTTCTCGCCATTTGTTGCACGAATCTCTATTCTATTTTTAAAGCCGCAGGAACCGAATCCTATTGAATATGAAATTAAAGTTAATAGGAGATGGATTCTTTTGGACTACTACGATGTGCCTATTAGAAACAAAGGTGTTCTTTCCCATATCCCAACGGAACATCGTTCTAGGTTTCCCAAGGAATTAAGAAAACAATTGCGAAGTGAGCTTTGGATTTTACATAAGGTGGAGTCGTTAAATCACTTTGCGTTTATTCATCAAATACCAGGAGCCCAGCCACCATCTTCCGTCGCCTCGTATTGGAGAAACAAAACCATAAATAAATTAAGACGATCCGTGATGAAAAACCAGGTGGAACTAATGGGAGGTGATTGGGGAGATTACAAGAAGCGCATGATGCAGATGCTTCAGGAACAGAGTGGGGATGATGAGGACGACGTGGCTCAGTCTGTTCGCATGGCGCTTGACCCGACGTATCCTCTGGAACTTGCGGAGAGATCTCGTGTTGCTGTGGAGAGAAACATGGAAATTGAACGAGCCTTTCATGCAGACGTTGCCAAACGCTTTATTACAGATTCACCTCGCGAATGTTTTGATGTAAAATGTGCCAAAATAAATCCATGAGAAGTAATGGTAGGTACACGCACATATATATATCTATCTATCTATCTATCTACAAAGTTAGCATGCGTATTAGCATGAATTTTTTATCTGCACTCACCTCTTTGTTTCTCTTGAATGCTGACTTTTAACGTACTCTTTATATGCCTTTATTTGTTATGTTGTTTTTGTTGGTTTGTTCGTCTTTCCATATGATTTATTAAGTCTACCTTTTGTACTTGATTTGAGCTTATAGAAATGGAAGTGGTCGAAAAGTTTCTCAATCTTCGTCGGAATGGCCATGGAGAGGAAGCCTATGAAATGCTTGCAACTGGAGCCGCAATGGGGTGTCCTTGGGGTGGTATGCACTACGGTGAAAATGTACTAGAACTGTTAAGGGACGAGGCTAGGTTTGTGAAGAA